TAAGTCACTGGACTCCCATGTAGTTGGCTGTGATGTGAGTCCTGGACCTGGTGATTTAAAACTCACCCTGGATGCATGAACGTGCGTGCTCCAAATCCCGAGAGGTGACTGGAGGAGAAGGGATTGTGGCATGGTCATCCCCCCCGGGGGGATGGATTTCTCGCCTTCTGTCTCTCTGTTTCTCTAGTGAGCGCACATGCCCTATAGCAAAAATCTCTCTTAAAAAGAAGATGTAATTCAGCATTACTGCAACATCAATGTGCAGACATTTTATAAACTTTGCAGGGAACTGGATCTGTAAACAGAAAGGCTTCTGCCAATAATTATTTGGCTTAAATGATGCAAAAAATTATTTCAGAGATAAGTTGCAATTTAATTATTGTCTACAAAGCTGAGTATTCTTCCTCAACACAAAGTAAATAATCTAGAACTTCCCATTCAAAGAGAAAAACTGAACAGAAAATAAGAGATTAGCCAAAAAGCTATATAACTTGTTTCCTGTTCAGAAATGTCCCTAATTATAACCCTCTGATTGCAATAACATACAATGAAAACCATAACTTATCAGTTATACTTTTTATATATACACAAAATATTATATGTAATACATACATATAACTGATAACAAATAAGGTACTATTTCCACAACTGGATATGTTTCCAAATTACACAGTTTTTCATTTTTTAAAAAAAGAATTTTATTTAACTTTATTAATTTGACCTGAGAGGAACAGAGAGAGAGAGAGAGGGGAAGAGAAAGCAAGTCACAGGTCTGGGACTTCAACCAGTCAGCCATATGGGAATCCAGTGTCCTTAACCACCATGCCACCTGCTTGTCCTTCAGTTTTCATTTTTAAAAGCGTAAAGAGGGCCAAACAGTGGTGTAGTGGTAATCTAATTGGATCCACATGGGAAGGTCCTGGTTCAAATCCCATGGCTTTCCTGTACATGCCAGGCACATGTGTGCATCCCCATGATCCAGGTTGCCTGAGACTGGATTGTAGCATGAACATCCTATTGGGGGTGGTTGTCTCCCTGTCTCTTGTGGAAGAAATAAAAACTTAAAAAAAAAGTACAAGTGTAAGGAACTGTGATATCCGGGACCAGCAGGGGTGTGGTGGTTAGGGCACCAGGCTACCACATGGCCAGCTGCAATTCAAGTCCTGGACCTGGTAGCTTACTTTCTCCCCTATCTCTTCCCAGACCCATCTTTGGTGAGACACATGCCCTATTGCAAATTAAAATAATAATATATAGAATTAAGTAAAAAATTCTTAAAAAAAATAAAAAAGAACTGCAATACATTAACAGTTCTAGTCAACTTAATCTTTTTTTTTTTTTTGGAGAGGTTTTTGCTATAGGGTGCGTGAGTTCGCCAGAAAAACAGAGAGACAGAAAGCGAGAAATCACATCCCAGGGGGGATGGCCACGCTGCAATTCCTTCTCCTTTCTCCTCTTGGGATCTTGGGCACACACACACACGTGCCTGGCGTGAGTTTAAGCCACTGGGTCCAGGACTCGAACCACGCTTGACTATATGGGAGTCCAGCAACATAGCCATTACGCTAACTGCTGGTCCCTGGTCGACTTAATCTTGTCAGAAGATTCTGCATAAAAACAACAGTCTCGGTACTTTCTCTTTTCTATTATACAGTACAATTTGAAAGTATTTCCTTACAGTAAAACAATGTGTTTCTAAAAAATGCAGACTAAGTTGGGCAAAGGCCTGTATCACTATTTGAGGAACAGGGGAGAAATTATTCTCAAAAAGCAAAAATTCTTTGGGCAAAAATATTTTGCAAATATTTACAATTTTTTTGGAGAGATTTTTGCCATACAATGCGTACACTCTCTGGAAAGACAGAGAAAGAGAAAGTGAGCAATCACTCCCCAGGGGGATGGCTGTGCTACAATCCCTTCTCCTCCATTCTCCTCTCAGGATTTTGGGCATGCATATACAAGTGCTCAGCATGAGTTTCAAACTGCTGGGTCCAATACTCAAACCGTGCGGTTGACTACCTGGGAGTCCAGTGACATAACCATTATGCTATCTGCTGGCCTCAGCCAATTTTATTATTTTCTGTCATAATTGAATGAAACAACTTTAGTCTGAGAGCATCTGATTTACCACATCTCCTGATTTCCAACTTTAGTCACTATGATCTTTTTAACACATTTTCCCTTTTTATAAACTGAGGGCAAAATGCAATAACTATTACAGGAAGAACGAGGATTTCTATATAAAGAATGTGACTCTTGGGACCAACAGTTGACGAAATGGCTATGTCGCTGGACTCCCATGTACTTGACTATGGTTCGAGTCCTGGACCTGGTGGCTTAAAGTCATGCCGGGTGCGTGTGCGTGCGTGCCCAAGATCCTGAGAGGAGAATGGAGGAGAAGGGATTGAGGCATGGCCATCCCCCTAAGGGATGATTTCTCGCTTTCTGTCTCTCTGTCTGTATCTTTCTGGTGAGTGCACACGCACTATAGCAAAAAGGGTGAGTGCACACCCACAATAGCAAAAACCTCTCAAAAAAAAAAAAAGAAAAAAAAAAGAATGTGACCCTGATGAAATAGAATTTCTAGCTCATAGACATTGCTACCATAAGGTAATTTGAGATATTTTCCTTGGTCTACAATAAACAACTATGGGGTGTCCATTTATGAAAACTGAATATGTAAAATCAGAGAACTGCCTGATTTAATTGTTTTTCTATGCAAAAATGTGTTATAACTTTTCTGACAACCTGATATAATTTTAGAGCTAGAAGAAAATTCATAAATCATCTAATTCTAACTTAATTTCTAGACCAAAAGAACAGACCTGGCTAAAATCCCAGTTCTCATAGGTGCCTGTCTGTCTGGTGAGCGCACGCACCCTATAGCAAAAACGTCTCCAAAAAAAAAAGAGACAGAGAGATAGAAAGCGATCCCCCCCAGGGGGGATGGCCATGCCGCAATCCCTTTCCTCCGTTCTCCTCTAGGGATCTTGGGCACGCACGCACATGCGCCCAGCGTGAGTTTTAAGCCACTGGGTCCAGGACTTGAACCACGGTCAACTACATGGGAGTCCAATGACATAGCCATTATGCTAACTGCTGGTCCCATGTCTCTCTCTCTCTCTTTCTGGCGAGGACATGCACCCTATAGCAAAAACCTCTCCAAAAAAACCAAACCAAACCAAAACAAAACAAAACAAAAACAATGAGATACCACCTAACCCCAGTCAGAATGACTAAGATTAATAAAACAAAAAAATGGTAAGTGATGGCAGGCGTGTGGTGAAAGGGGAGCTCTCTTACACTGCTGGTGGGAATGTAAATTGGTTGAGCCACTGTGGAGAACAATTTGGAGATTCCTCAAAAATCTACAAAAAGAACTTCCATACAACCCAACAATCCCACTCCTTGATCTACCCAAAGGACAGAAGAATTCTTAATCAGAAAAGTACTTGCACATCAATATTTATTGTAGCATTATTCACAATTGCTAAGACATGGAACCTATCCAAATGCCCACGAACAGATGGACTGAAAAACTGTGGCACATATACTCCATGGAATACTACTCAGCCATAAAAAATAACAAGACCCTGGCTTTTGACCGAAAGTGGATAAATATGGAAGATCTACTGCTGAGTGAAGCAAGCCAGGCTATGAAGGAGAGACATTGTATGTCCCCACTTAATATATACCCAGTTTCTGCACTCTATGACCAAAACTGAATGACTAAAGGATATAGAAACACAGTAAATGGCTGTGAATACCAGATATAACGTGGAAAGAGCGTGGGTGAAGGAATAGAGTCTGAGGAAGGACATTAAGGAGAAAAATGGAGAGGCAAACATTGATGGGACAAAGAAATGGGGTATTATCTGTTGAAGACAACTTTATAGTATTATCTACTGAACTGGGGAGAAATGTAAACATGTTGGAATATTCACTTTGCAAACTAAATGTCGCGACTGAATGTATAAAAGAACTTGAAATAAGATTAAACAAAGAAGTTAGATTATTTGAAAGTATCTCTCCAAGAAAATCTTTGTTTTAATTATTAAAACAAAATTGTTCACATTTTTTTTTTTTTTAGAAGAGAGATTTTTGCTATACGGCGTGTGCGCGCACTGGAGAGACAGAGAGAAAGTGAGAAATTCCCCTCCCTTGCCTCCCACCCCAGGGATGATGGCCATGCCACAAATTTTTCTTCTCCATTTCCTCTTGGGATTTTGGGCACGCACATACACATGCCCAGTATTTTAAGCCTCTGGGTTTCTAGGACTCGAACCACAGTTGGCCATGTGGGAGTCCAGTGCCTTAACCGCCATGCCGTCTGCTGGCTCACATTATTCTCCCTTCTAATTCTCCTTCCTAGTTCATGTCCGGTTGAGTCAAAGACAGTTAAACTTTAAAAGGAAAGCAGTTTGGGATCAAGGAAATAGACAATTAAATGTAGATAAAATCAAGATCTGATCCCAGTCCTGAAACAGGTTGATGCTAGTAGCTAGATATCTGCCACCTGCCTTTCAAATTGGTGGGTAACAGGTTACTTGTGGTAACTGATCTCAAGATGTGAAATTGATTCAGTGGGTTCATTTGAGTACATTTCTTTCACGGTCACCAACACCATGAAATCAATTTCTCCCAAAGGAGGTTTTATTCTCGGGAGCTCACGTACATAGTAAATTCAATCAGCGAAAAGAACAGGCAGGTTTCTATTTATTCTTTAAAGTAAATATATATATTAGATGGAAGGAAAATAGGGTAATAAAGGACAAGTTAACTCAGGGGAAACGTTTTCACTAACAGATTATCTAAATATCAGCTCCTAATACACTGGGATACCTACAGTGTCCCCTATGTATGGTTCATTTAAGGCACAAAGCTTTATAGGATTAGAGATTTTTGCTCAAAATTAGAATTTAAGAAAGGATGTGGGAAAAAAAAGACACTTTATAAAGAAGACAAAAAACAAGCCAAAATGCAAGGAGTAAAAATGAAAATTTGAAAAGTTAACACATATTTATTTTTATTTATAGATAACTACCACATGAATTATAAAGCTGAAAAGGATGTTAGAATGGAACTTGGATAGGTGTTACACATGCTAAGAATAAACACTTCCTCCTACACATTATGGCTAGTGAGAACATTATAACAGGAAATTGTGATTATTCAAAATATATTCAGAACTTATTTAATCTGTGCTTTAGAAATAACTGTATATAGTGTTTGAAAAGAATTCAAAAGAGTAACTAATACCAAATATACACCTGTGTATTAGAATTCAGAAAAGCTGCACTCTGTAAAGTTAATCAGCTGTATTAAAAATGACACAAATCCAAAACAAGATGCTCGTTATATAAAAAGGAACATTGTGAGGTTTGCTTTGCTGCATTACATCCACAGTTTAATCCACGAAGTTTCCTTTAGTTATCATTTAGACAGAAGCATGCAAATGGTCTTAGGATCTACTTAAGAGTCTTCCCCAAATCCATTAAGGCTACCCTCCTCTTTTCAGGAACTAGGCAGGTATTCGGGCGGCAGCTTCCTCCTCTGCATCAGCTCGGTTTGCATTAATTTCTGCGAGTGTCCGGCCGAACCGTGCCCATTCGTCATTGCGGGGGACAGCAATCTGCTGTTAAAAGAAAGACAATGTTTTATGTTCACTGAAAGAAAAGATCATCTTACCCACTATTAGTCAGTTTGTTTTCAAATAATTTTCTATTAAAAAGTAATAGGTGACCCAAATGGCCTTTCTGTAATTACAGGGACTATAACAATGATTTCAACATTTCAAAACAAAAGACAGTGTTTGTGAAGTGAGTTATGACAGCCTCAGCAATGGCTTTGATATTACCACTGATGCGAAAGAGAAAAACAATTATGTTTTGTAAATCCAACTCCTATGTAGTATCTAAGGGATTTTGCTGGTGGGGAGGAATTCCTTTCAATTTTTAAATTTTATTCTTGCACTATTACTAGTCTGAAAGAGTTTCGAACCATGGTTCTTAACAGCTGGTTTCTTATAAGTGTGCCATTTAGTTTGGAGCGTAAGATAACTTTTCTTGATATCTTATTTTCTTTATCCAAAGTGTATTATTTTAGCACTTTAGTATTCTATTAATACCAGCAGCAAAAGGGGAAAGAGGCTTGTGATGCCTTTGCTCACAAAGGCAGCCCAATGACAAACATTTCTGATGGTTTTTCCTTTGTAACATCACAGGGCTCTGGCATGACCATGTGAGGGCATGAACCACTCAGTATGGCAAACAGATGTGCCACCTGTTGCTAAATGTAAACTATCCAATAGGAGGGG